AATACCTATAGAATGATAGGTTTCTTTTTTGTGAGTGTAAAACACTTAAATACACCAGCTCGATTTTGCTTGTTCTATTCCTTTTGTAATGTTGCAGACTGGATTTTCTGTTCTGGCTAAGTTCAAAGGTAGCTATAGGGCAGAATGAGCTGTCCAGCCACCTGCAAGTAAAGTGGCAGCTATGCCAGATGCTGCAATGGCCAGCAAAATCTTTGTTTGTTGATAGACTTTTGCCAGTAACAGTACCTCCTTGGGCATTTAAAAATACTATTCCACCTTGGCTATTCTCAACCTTTTGAATTATCTTTTTGCATGCTCTTTCTTGATTTTCTACCAGAAGAGGTTCATTGTAAGCATTAACTATATTCACTATCTAAAGTATATTCACTATTTTTGTTCACTACGTTGTTCCTTGAGTTAATTTGAGCAAATGATATTTTGAGTAAAGAAACCTTTCTTTATATACATTATCCTCATGATATAAAACGTTCCAAAACCTTTAAGAATGTTTTATTTCAGAATCTTCTATAACATTTCTTAATCTCGTCGCAAGAACATACAAGAATGTTCACGAAAAACGAAATTGATTCACCAGTACTCTCCCCACTCATGACCTTCCTCATATCATTTTGAATGATTGTGTCAAGTTTGGTGATTGGTCAAAAATGAGGAAAAGTACTCAATGCAATAACATAGTTTTACACTGCAGCCTCCGGATATGAAATTAGATGGGGGGGGGGGGCTGTCCAATCCCTTCCCACATGACCTCCATCATGTCATCCTGTATGACTGTGTCTAGTTTGTGTCAAGAAATGTCGAAACGTATAAGGAACAGATTCATACACATACACATATTGACGTTTATATATATAGATTTACTTTGTGGTAAATTTTCGTTTACTAAATTTATAATTTATTTGTATCTGTGAAAGTGATCTGCTTCAAACACATTTACAAAAATGTTTTCACTACTTTTGCTTATACTAGAATTTCTTATTGCATGCTAAATTACAGATTCATATAAATGTTAATAACGGTTAATTATATTAGTCGATATTTTCATACGTAGTTATAAGTAAATAGCAGAAATATTACCCACCCTCAGGGCAGGTATAACTGATAGTTCCGGAGGAAGGCTATTGGACCTATGGCCCAAACAAAGGTCTGCGGTATTTTCTGGAATTGTCTGACAGTTCTACAACAATGTGCTGATACTTGACAATCAATAATGTTCACCATTCATGAAAAAAATAATATTTTATTAACATTTTAGTTTAAAAATGAGCTATAATCACAAAGTAGATTTTATTGAAGTATTTTTTTGTTGCCTTGATCTTCTGTTGCAACACTCATGAGAATTTCACTAAAGAAAAACAAATACTTTTTTTTTAAGTTTGTTTTTTGGCCGTTTTATATTTGAAACTTATTAATTTTTTGTAATTTTCATTGGCTAAATCTGAAACTTACTCCTTTTTGTTTGTAATTTTTATTGGTTAAATCTGAAACATATCACTTTTGTGGAAATTTCAATTGTTCTATTTATTGCTCTGATAAAAAATACCGCCTAGTTTGCCCCCCCCCCCCAAAGGCACATCGGTATGTCTGCGGATTTACAACGTTAGAAACCGGGTTCCGATACCCGTCGTGGGCAGAGCACAGATAGCCCATTGTGTAGCTTTGTGCTTAATTTTAAATAAACAAACAAACTGCCTAGTTATAAAAATATTACCCAGTTATGATTGGTGCGGTATTTTCCGAGATCCGAGTTTTGGGCGTATACATCGCAAGCTCTATTATAATAAGATATAACTTTTAGAAAATAATCAAAATCTCTAGTAGAGGGCGACAGGTAGTTAATTTTTTTCTTAGGTCTGATATTTACGTTGTAGTATTAGTTATGATATTGTGAAATACTACTGTTTAACAATATACATCTACTGAAAGTAAAATTTTGTTATTAAGGTAAGGCAAACAAATTTGTGAAATTAATTGTGATGTTATATTTTTAGTGCAGTCTGTTTTGCAATGCAAAAATCACAACCAATACCAGTGGTAGAACTAGAAGTTAGTTATTACCTTATTGAACGGTTATTCTACTCACTAGCGTCATACTTGCTTGAGTCACACTCAGCTGTGTTGAGCTAACGTCTACAGCGCCAACTTCCGTTTTTCAGATTAGTACTACACTTTCAAAATACAAGAGAAGAAACAGAAGATTACTAGAACTTGGAAGAGACTGAGGAAGCAAGGCAGGATTTTGATAGAGTTAAGGTAAAGGTTTGGTATTAACAATGAGAGTGCTGGTTTATGAGGGTATACAGCAGTAAAATTAAAAACTGTGGAGACAGGTTCCGTTAGAATTCAGATGCCAGTCTGCAAAGGCAATAGAACTTTAGAAGTTAGAACCTTTAGCTACTTGCAGTTAGGAACTAGATGATTACTAATTTTGCACAGTGGGGTACTTTCTTATTATATATATATACTGATAAAGACTAGATCAAGAACTTGCTTCACAGGTGCTAAAGCACAGAACAGTACTAACAGTTATAGTAGTGGTATCAAGGAACATTCTCTTTTATAATTGTAGTGCAAATGATGTAAGTCATCAATCAGAAGACCTTGTGAAATAGCAAACTGTACTTTTATTTTATGGTTTTGTTAACCATTCATTTATTATTCCTTCTGTCATTTAGTTCAACTATGAATTTTTATTTGTATTAAAGCACTAACTCACCTTCTATCTAGAGCATGTTGATTGTAAATATGCGTGTATGTATTGTGGAACTGGCATAAACATCCCTACTGATGATGCATAGATATTAATGTTGTGAAAGATTTTAAGGTATAACCTCATGGTCTAATCACTAAATAAAAAACCTTCCTTGTTCTTGAAAATGAGTTAGTTTACAAGATTGCAAGAAGGAATTATTGCTAATTATTAATCAACATTGTTCTTGATATTGAGAAGTGGTTTAATTTTGGAACATTGTGTTATTTTTTGTCGAATAGGTTTTTTCTTTTCTAGTTGGTACTATCATATTTTTTGAAATTAGTAACATTAAGATTTATGTTGTATTGCATATTTATGTTTGTATCTAGTCTTGGCTAAGCATGGATTTACTGATTTTTGTTGTTGTGAATGATAACATTTGTATTCTAGTTATTTGAAAGTTTTTCATTGGATTTCTGTTGTTATATTTAATAAGTTGTTTTTGTTTAACTTGTGTTGTAATGGCATTTTGGTTAGAGTGTTACACATTGCTAAAATAGTATAAAGATCTTCAGAGGTTTAGGGTTAAAAATAGATGTATGTTCTTTTGGGAGTACTCCACTGGTCTAGATTCAGAAATGAATTATTTTTGACATGGTCCAGGGCTTAAGTGAAAAATTATCAAGGGTAATTGTTGGGGTAACAGTTAAGCTGATTAAACTTACAGGACAGTTTTCTAGGTAAAGATCAAGTGTTTGCCAGAAATGGGCTCACACTAAGTAGACTAGGTAGCAGAATGTTTCGAGAAACTCTGAAAAATTTCATTAAAGATAGTTTAGGTTTGTATAGTGGTGAAGGAGTTTGGGAAATTGTAAATACATAAAGTATTTTAAGTAATAGGGTAGCTAGAGCAACAAGGAGATTGCAAGCAAAATTTAGAGCTTCACAAGTTAAATAATAGTTTTATAAGAGTCTATCAGTTTGAATGATAAACATAATTGAATTCAAATTACTTGCTACTGTTAGGAGTATTAGGAATAAAATAGATGGCATAGAGACTCAAGTTAAAATGGAAGACACAATGCAATTTGAATTTCAAAACATGGTTAGATATGGATAATATTGATAAGAATTATTTTGAAAGTCCAAGTTAGAATTTATTTAGTAGTAGACTTTAAAAGGGGTGTAGTGGCTCGCTGTATAAGAGATGAACTGTGCTCTGTTGGGACTGAAGACATAGATAATTTTAGTTAAGAGGTTCTCAGATATAGGATGTTTTTAGATGGCAATTGTTATACATTATCAGATCAGACAAGATATGCCAAACAGAAATCATATAATAAGGTTAAGGTTGTTACTTAAAACAATGATACTGATGCACTAATTATGGGAGACTTAATTTAAGATATACTGATTTTTGTATAGAATCAAATAGGGAGGGAGAGAGATATCTTAAGTGATTCATGATGGCTTTCTATACTAAATGGTTAGGGAACCAACCCAATGGATAATATTTGGGGTTTATTGTTAACCACTATTGAGGAAATAGTTACAAGAGTTAAGTGGGGAACACTGAGATAAGTGATTATTGCATAATTAGGTTTGACATTTTTGTGTTGAGATCAAGAAAAAATAAATTTGATTCCTGATTTTCAGAAAACCAATTTTGAGGCTGTGAGACAAGATCTATCATTAGTAGAGCTGGGCAGTTTAATCAATTACATATGAGTAGTGATTACTTTGATTAAGGTCAACATAAACTAATCAAACAATTAAAATTAGTGTTTCCAATTACTATTATTTTTGATTATCCTAACAATTAATTAAACAGTTGTCATAAAAATAATATACTAACCAAAATTAGAGTTTCTGATCATTACTATTTTTGATTATTCCAATTATCCTTAGTATTTAAGTACAAATCTATATAATGGGCTATCTGTGAACCATCTAGTTTAACCTTAAGTTTATTCAGCTTTGGTGATTTGTGGAAAAGGAGTTCATGACTCAAAGGTCTTGGCTCAATTCCCATTCCCAGCAAACTTGCTTTCCCTGTTTTTGTTAGTAATGGTAATACTACTAAGGATATTTACCATTGTTAGCAATTTTTTGAACTGTTCTCTAGTCTGTCTGACAGCACCCACTAACATTTTCTTTTTCCTAAACTGCTGACTTAAAAGAAAGCAACCAGCTGGCAGCACTTGCCACCAAAATTTTGTTTTTATTCTGCTTGTACGACTATGGTTTGAGGAATACTTTACTATTTTATTAATCAAATGTAATTGATTAATGAGGTCATTTATTAGTTGATTAGCAAATATGACTAACTGCCCAACTATATATATATATATATATTAGTGAATTGGAATAAGGAGTTAAAAGGTGATTCCAATACAATATCTTACCTCAACTCGTATAATAGCTTTTCTCTATTCTTATTGCCCTCTACATGCACAGTGCAGTGCCTCATCCCCTCAAACTTCTGATACCTTTATTTTGGTATATCAGCACATGCTGATTCTGTTACTTGTTGTTTTTCACTTTATATTTTACAGTTTTGAAATATTTATTAATTTATACATCATTCCAGTTGACACGCATTCTGCATTTTATATTACTACAGCAATTAAACCTACTGTATCTCAGGCTTCAGGCCCTTTTGCTTTTGATGTGGAGGTCTTGGTTTTTCAATGGAATTTTAAGAGTCCATCCTTTAGCTGGCTGTCTCCCAAGCCCAAACCTAAAAGTTTTTTATCTGGTGAATTTGAGCTATTTAAAAATGATTTAAATAGCACTTTTTCTGCCTCCTTTCTGGAAAGAACAATCCCAGTTTATGACTGTAGATGCTCCTCAGCTGTCCTTAGCCTTCTTGGATGTAGTGCCACAGATATTTATGCTCTGTTTCATATTATTCCTTTACTTTCCTACTATATTTTTTTCCTTTTTTCCTTCACACACATATTCCTCAGTTGTTGGGATCTCTTTGGTAGGAATGCATGGTTAACTCAAGGGCAGTTATCCATTTCCTACTTACCAGACTTACTGATGGCACTATTTTTACAGTTGTCAATTTTTAATGAGTGTCCAAATAATTGAAAGCAAGGGGGAGGCTGTTTGCTAATGCCCCACCTTTTCTGCCTGAGTTTCTGGTTTATTGCTGAATCCCACATTGCCAATGATACTGGGGTTTACCCCATGAGTTCAGTCACAGAAGGAGTACATATGACCAGGTTTTTGCACCTATATTAGAATTTCACCTCGGATCCTTGGATGCTTTGGGTGTTAGCATAAGATTTATCCCTTTAATTCCTTCATATTTCCCCTTTATCCTCAATTGCTTTCTCCTTCCCACTTCCTTGGAATCCTCTTTCTGGCCATACTTTCTCAGAAGTGGTTCAGACTCTATCCAGGATTGTGATCCAAGTTGTTGGTATTTCCTAAGAAGACTAGGGCCTGGTGTCAAGTTATAGATCTGTCATGTCTTAACCATTTTCATCAATCTTCCTCATTTTCACAGAGTCCTTCTACATGCACAGGTGTGCATTTACTCCTAGTTTTTGAACGACGAGTATTGATGTCATGGATGCTTACTTTCACATCCTTATTTCCTCAACATTTGGTATGGCATTTCCATCCTATGTTTTCTGTTGGGTAGTGGTAGCTTTTGCTCAACTACATCATAAAGAAGGTTTGTGCTCCCATCCTTAAATGATGTTAGCTCCAGCCCAAATATGCTGCTCACAAACACATTCAGTTGCTTCTTCAAAAAGAATCTCATGTGAGATGGCTCATTCAGTGGGGGTAGCCTTTCTTCTTATCCAAACCCAATAATTTGTCCACTTGGGAATATTTTTCACCTCTTCCCCATTCAGACCCAGCATTCCCCTAATCATTTATGATCGAAGAAGCTCATGGTTCAGTCATCCTTCTTCCTACTTCTCTTCTGGCCAATTTTGCTTTCTGGCTCTACAGAGACAACAACATGCCTGGTGTTCCTCTTGCACCTCCATAGCCCATATTGCATCTTTTTCCATATCTTTCTCTTTTGGGTTTGGGAGCATTTATGGATTTCATGAAATCATGGGTTATTGTTTTTTGGTGAAGATGGCTATGCAGATATATATTCTGGAGCTGAATGCTGTCTGTCAAGCTTCGTTTCATTTCCTGCCTTTAATATGAAGCAAGGTAGTCATGATCCATTCCAATGGTTGTCTCTTGTTGCAATTGACAAGGAGACACCAGTTCATGTTCATTCTGTTTTGAGGATGTTGATACTCCTGTTCTGGACCCATTCACACCATACATGCATTTTGATGTGTCATGTTCCGGTTGCTTTGATTCTTTTTGCTGATTAATTATCTCATCTCAACAAAATCCTTCCAATAAGTTCTGGTGGTTATACAATTAGTGGGTACTCCTCTTCTAGAAGCATTTGCCACCCATTATCATTTCCAGAATCTCCCTTTTCAGTCAATGGTGCCACATCAATTGGCTTTGGAAGTGGACACCTTCAGTTTGGATTAATCCTACTTTACCTGTATGCTTATCTTCCTATATGCCT